ATACGATTTTGAAATACAACGTTTAATAAGGCTCAAAAGGGTTACCTCAATTGAAGGGGTCGCTGTTGAATAAAATCGTCTAGTTGACAGCCAGCGTTTTCCATTTTCAAAAATCGACCGGCGAATCATCGAACAATGTAGAAGATATGACCGAGATCCCTATAAGAAAGCTATTATTATTTTTGCCAAAGTTCACAAGAGTACAAACAACAATGTGCACACGATCCATGTAAAAAGAAAACAAAAGGCGCAGGCAAAATTTTGAAAAAGCTAAAGAAAAATAAAGTTATAAAAACTTCAATGAAATAGAATCTCAAAGAAAAAAAGAATCAGAAATCTTGTTGTTAGAACATAATGTGCTCTGTAGTAGTTACTACTTTACACGTGTAGTTACACGAGTCTTGTATTATAAAAAAGAAGAAAAATGCTGCTTGAGATATCTCGGTATACTATAAGCCCGTAAATTTGAATTTGAACATTTCAAAATTCGATTTGATAATGTTTACATTTAATTAAGACTTCATAATAATACTAAACTTTAAAGTTTTTGATAATTTTTTCTGAAAATCGGAAGAGCTTTGAAACTTGACGCACAAATACATAGCTAACAGCCGTCAGGGTGTGCGAATGATCTATATCCGAAGTATCCAAACCTTTACAGTTACCTAGGGGTAATATCAGGGTCGCATGGGTGTCCCATCTACGAACCAAAATTCATAAGGTCCATTGGTTTGAAAAAGTTTAGATGATTTATACAGTTCACGCCAGCTCTACGCTGATAATCAAAATTGGCAGACACAACAGAAATCTAAGAACAGATATAGATCACTCTTTGAATTTCACAAAAAAAGTCGCCAACGGAGAAAACCCATCAAAATTACATTAACCTTGGTTGACTCTCCTTGCAAGTTTAAGCGAGCCAAGTGTAGAGTTCCTGTAAAACGTGCACGTGCTACCTTTAGAAATTATAAATGCAACGAAAAGCAAGTCAAGTCTCGAGTTGGCAAACTCCAAAACAAAAGACGAGTCGAGCCTATTGTAGCTAACAAGCAAAATCCTCGACTCACCCAGATATGCAGTCAGCAAAAAATGTAAAAAAAAGTCAAAAAAAGTCAAAAAAACCATCGTCTCCCAAAGGCTTAAAACAAAAAATTTTTCGCAAAAATAAACGTTTCAGAGGTAACTTGTTGGCAACGAATTCTACCATTGTGGTCTAGTTTCCGAATGAACAAGCGAAAAATTTGTCCATAACAGTAAAATAGAAAAAATAACAAAAGAGTTAACGACCAACAAAAAAGGAAGCAAAAAATTTGTGCAACACATGTTGAGAGATCGTCTTCCATAATTGTTCCACATGGCCTCATAGTTCAGCCTTGTTTCGAAATTTTTGTCCTTTGAGTTTCCATTTAACAATTGACCAGAAATGTTCAATCGGGTTGACGTCGGAGCTGTAAGGTGGTGTTCGAAGCAATTCCACTCCATTTTGATGAAACCAGCCGGGCATCCTCCCAAAAAACTTGCATCTTGCATGAATAACCACCCCTGTCCCATTTTCTTTTGTGCATGAGGTAGGATAAGTGTCTCCAATATGTCCTTGTACTTGTGAGCAGCCATAATTCCGTCTATCAAGACTAGCGGACCAACGTCGGACGACGAAATGCAACCTAAATATAGACAGAATTAGGCACAATCTAAAAAACATTTACTAACCCCAAACCATGATTCCTCCATCATTGAACTTGACTGTAGGACGCATATACTTGAGTTTATAGCGTGTTCCAACAGGCCGACGAATCATTTGACCACCATCCGGATTGAATATATTGATCTTCGTCTCGTCACTCCACAGTACCTTCTTCCAAACGTCGACCGTCCAATGTTTGTACGTCTTTGCGAAGGCCAATCTCAATCGCCGATATCTCAAAACCATTACAGGCTTTCGTGCTGGTCGTCGAGCAAACAATCGAACCGATTTGAGCCGGTTTCAAATTGTTTGAGTGGCTACTTCAAGCCCAAAGCAAGATTGAAGCTTGGCACCGTCGGTACTCGTCCTGTTTGGATCCTTTAAGAAGATCCCGATCAATGAACGGTCCTGTCTGATTGTTGTTTTAGGTGGTCGACCACTTTTTGGATGTCGTTGCACATTTCCCTCTAGTTTTTGTCGTTTACAAAGCCTGGAGACGGTAGGGCGATCAACGATAAAAAGATCACAAATGGCCTTCACTTCATCCCTCCTTGACGGGCTGTGACAATGTTTTCCTTAGTCGGGGTGTTCAGATATCGCTCGCAGGGTATCTAAAAAAAATAAATAATGCACAAAAAACAAAGTCAGAAAACAAAAAGAAAAAGTTTACAACAGAATACAACGATGGTGTAAGACTTTTTTTGCGCTCTAAACCGGGTGTCTCTAATAAAACTTATTTTTTACGTCAAAAGAAATAACTTGCAATAAAAATGAATAATATATTCGGAAACTAGACCACAATGGTAGAATTCATTGCCAACAAGTTTTCTCTGAAACGCTTATTTTTGCGAAAAATTTTTTGTTTTAAGCCTTTGGGAGAAAATGGTGCAAGACTTTTTTTGCTGACTGTAAATACTATTTTTTCAAATCCAATTTTCTAACATTACAATACAATCATTCTTTCATGTTCGATTTCTTTCCTGCTCATCACCATCGGCCTATATGATTTTTTTATCATTAATTGGCATCATTTTCAAACCAGCGTGGATTCAAAAACTGGTCAGTGTGTGAATAGTTTCCCGCTATAGGTAGTGAACTCTACTATAAGTAGCATATTCCATAACCTACCTAGTGTCACCATTCTATAGTAATGTATGCTTCTCAAACAGAAGTGGTAGCAATCCTCGTCATAGTATAAGAGCATCCCATAAATCTTGGCGGTATTTTTGAGCTCTAATTTTTTAACACAAAAAGAGCAAATCAATCAAAATAATTTATATGATTTTCGATGGTCTTCGCCTATTTTACTAGCAGGAGGCTGGCGTTCCCTTTCGTAGAAAATCCTTAGCTTTAACGAAAAGAAAGTTTCTAACCAATTTTTGACCTCATCGTCGTCTTTGAAGTGCACCCCATTGATATCATTTTGCATAAAATGGAATAAATGATAATCGGAAGGGGCAATGTCAGGAGAGTAAGCTGGATGAGGGTGTAGATTGTTCAGCGGGTTATTTTTCAGTATGTGGGCGTGCAGTGTCGTGTTGGAGAATGACTTTTTCAAATCTGATCTTTTTCTTTGATTGCTTTGTCCAATTTTTTAACTAACCACTGTATGCTAATGTGTTAAGTCTCTTCTTTTCATCCAAGAGTGCCCAGTGAATAACTCCTTTAATATCCCATCGAACGCAGAGCATGAATTTTTTGGTGCACTTCTGGCCTTGGCTCATTTGATGCTTGCTCTTCGGACGCAACCCACTGACGCTTTCTGTTTGTATTGTCTAACATAATAAATTTGTAGTCCCCTATCATAATACGGGACAAAAAATTCTCTCGCGTCTTTAGTGGAGAGAAGCTGCAATTGAGAGACGTTACCTTTTCATAGAGTCGGTCAGAATATGAGGCACCAATTCCCCAAAATTGACCTATGGCCAAGAAGTTGAAGATCTCTAACCACCGTAGAATGTAAGGAGGATATCTCTTCTGCAAGTTCTTTTGCAGTTAATTTGGTGCCCTTCTCATAAGCTTGAGAAGTTTTTGCCCGTTGAATTCGACTTCTCTTCCAGATCTCTCTTCATCAATCAATGGATATCATTTCTGTCAAACTTGCTAAGCCAACGTTTAAATGTTCGTTGTGAAGTAGAGTTTCACCTGTATTCATACCCAATATTTTGCCGAACCACGGCTATCGACGAGCCTTTATTGAACTGCCCGAACTTGAGGTGATGAAAATGCCCAGGTTGTACCTGGATGACTGAAGAAATACAAATACAGTCATGGACAAAAGTCTTGGCGGCTCCTGGGTGGCAACTTTCAAACGCAAATTTAGGAACCTTTCCGAGAGGCTATAAAAAAGTTGTCACAAGTATTTTTGAGCATTTTTACCCTACTTTTAGCTATGACCAAGCATTGAACTCGAAAGTTTATTTTAAACAACAAAAATAAGCGTAAACGACAAAAAGGTCACAAAAACAATGGACAAAAGTCTTGGCGGCACAGACATAGAGGCGAAAAATTCAATATTTTGTAGATCCGCCTTTAGCTGCAATGACCGCTTGGAGCCTCCGGGGCATACTGTCAACTAGATCGCGTAAAATTTGTGGCACAATTGTCGCTCAAACTCGCCGTACGAAGTAGCAAAGATCCGTCTTAGAGCTAAACCGTCTTCCCTTGAGTTTTGTCTCGATAAACGCCCATAGGTGTTCAGTAACATTCAAATCGGGGCTGTATGGAGAAGCTGAAACCGCTTCAAGGAGCACGCAGCATTTTTGCTTTCTTTCAGCTCCTGCACGACTTGTGGAATGACCTTATATTTACGTTAGAGTTCAGTAGTCTGTATTCACTTCACAAGCTTAAATGCTTTTAAAACTAATCATTTTTCAGCTGCAACTTAGGTCAACATTTAATCACAGAAGTATGGCTGCTCATAGTCAGGGAGTGAAGTATTTTTTTGAAAATTTGATCAAAAAACGAAAACGGAGAGTTTAGGTGGGATAGAAAGGGGTGGAGAGCGAGAAGACCCGCCCACTAGTTGTGGGTCCCCCGAGGGAGTGGCAAGGGGAAGGGGAAGAGGAGAGGGGTAAGGGACTGGTGCTCCCTTCCGAGTGCCTTCTTGGCTCACAATCCACCATCCAAGGCGAGACATTGCTCCTCAAAAGTTTTACCGGTCTCTCAGGCACATTATGTCTTTTCATTGTGGCTAATATTCGCTTATCTAGATATTTCTTCTTGAAACAATTCTCCGATTCTGAATCGATCCTTTCTCGCGAATTGAGGGCAATTTCCGAGGACGGGCGGCCACATTGGCTGCACGTCCGACGAGATGACTGTAATTTATGTGATCTGGGCAGTGGCAATGGCTGCTCTTGCTATCATTACTGTTGTTGGTAATCTTGCTGTCCTACTTTCTTATTACATCGACAAAAATATTCGCCAACCCGCCAACTATTTCATCTTTTCACTCGCCATTTCGGATCTTGTAAGTTCTTTGTTCTTTGTGAAGACGTTTCTCAACGTTGCGAATATTTTCTTTTTGAAAAACAAAACCATAGGATGGAAATTTTGTATTTATAAAAGTTTTCCTGAACGATTGCCTATTTTTCACAATGGAATAAGCTAGTTTCTCTTTTGTTTTAGAATGCCTTTTTCCAGCTCTAACAATAAAGAAGCAACACCGAGAAGTTCATTCTTTTCTTTTATTCATTTTATTACAATTAATCTCACTTTTTATTTCCAATGTTGACAATTGACGTATCAACACCAACTACCAGATCTCCCTTGTTTTTATGGAAATTTTCTGGAAAAAAGATGAACCTTTGAACAGAAAAATGTCTTGTGTAAATGGGCCGTGTGAGTTCCTTCAATAATGATGAAACACAAGGAGAGGATAGGACTCACTTACAAGCCCTTTGCCCTTCCTCTTGTCCCATCTACTTCATTCCCCTTTCCCCCTTCCTTCACCCATCTTGCCTTCTATTCGAAAAAGGTTATCTAGTAGAAGAAAGGGGATCCACTTCTTTCTAAGTGGGCTCATTTGAATATTTGAAGAGATGAGTGCTATCAACGAAATAAAAAAATTAGACCTTAATCTTGATATTAGACCTATGTTCATTTATTAATGAAAAGCATTCTGTTTATATTTTTGCTTACTTTGAAATGAAAAATTGACAATTTTCTGATTGTGTTTTGAGTTTTACTCTTGACTAGAAGCCTTTCAGCACACAAGTTAGCAAAATTTTCTCAGAAAAGGGTTGCACCTTGTGCTGCACGAGAGCCCACCTAGGATGTGAGTGGGATGGGCGAGTTCCGTAGGAGTGAAAATTGAATTTATGATGCGCTATGTGTGTGTGAGTGAGCATATTTCACAACCACATCCAAGTCTTTCTGGGAATGGATGAACGAAGTGAAAATGGAGAGTCTTTCTATCAATTTTGCTATTCTTCCAACCATTCCAATCTTCTCGTTGGGTAGTCAGATGAAACGCCCGATACATTTCATTTTGAAGAAAAAGGGAAAAAACAAGAAAAAAACTTGATTGAATCATATACGAGAAGAAATTGACGCTGAATGTTTCTAATTTGAAATCTAAAATTTTAAAAGTCAAAGAGGCAACCTAGTGGTTGACTTCTTCTAGGTGGTCTTCTATGATTTTTCATGATGTTTTGGGCAAACAATTCATGCTCACACTCACTCACACTCACTGCGTCCCCCTTTTCACACTTCTCTTCTTTCTTTCTTCCCTTTTCTCTTCCGTTTACTTTCTTTTTTTCTTTCTTGTGAGCTTTCAATGTGATTGCCCCTTTAAGCAGAATGCCGTTTATTTCAGCTTTTCACCTATTTTGGGGAGGTGCTTCGTTTGCGAGTAGAGACAAGCACTTGATTGCTTCAAGTCCTCCCTCACCTTTCTTTTTTTGTGTCCCTTTTTCTTCATTGTCAAACAAAATGACCCTTGCACTTGAAGGAGAAACGTTTGTGCTTTAAAGGATTTCTCAAAAGTTTTCGCTCAATCCTTTGAGCGCTGATTTATGCAAAAAAAAGTGACTTAAGGAATGAATTCATTCCCATATTCCAAGGAATGCGACGTCAGTTTCGAGATTAGTGTGCGATTTCGACGAAAGGCACGAATGAAAAGAAATCGAGAGATCGGGAGACTCGAAGAGAGTCCTTCAGGAGTGAGGGGAGGGGTGGGGTGGAGGGGATGGTGGGGAGGGGACGGGCTCAATCTGGCCCGAGGTGCTTGGCCTATTCGCCGCGCTCGGCCGCCTCAATCTAATGACCCACTGGGGACTTGAACTCCACGGGCAAGAGGGCCCTCTAAGGCAACTTTTCTTCTTCTCTCTCACGGACCTTCTCGCTAAATCTCGGCTTTCCAAGATCGAGAAGGCACCTTTCGTGAAAAACATTCAAGTTTCACTTTTCGAACCTACCTGAAATAATTGCAAAAATATGGAGGGACCAAGGATGAAAGTTTTTCTGGTAAAGACAAAGCTGGAAATGAAAAACCTATTTTATAATCTTCAAGTAATCAAAAAAAACAAAGAGCTTTAACAATTAGAATCTTTGATGTGTTTTTGGATAATCTCGCTGATGATGCTTTCCTCGCGAGATTCTTTTATGTGGCCAATCATGTCTATCTTATTTTGCCCAGATTTTAAGCAAATTCCTTAAAGAAATGCTTGAAAACTCTGCTAGGTGCACTTATTTATTTTTTTAATAACAAAAACCAAAAGATTTTAAAATAACAAAGATTAAAGACCAAACAAAACAAAATAACAAAACAGAGTTCGTCTTTGTTAAATGAAATTTTTGAGCAATATTGGACACATAAGTTTTTATGAAGCTTTTTCATCCGAATGACGACTGCTCACAGAAAATCTTCTTCACTGGTACTTTCCCCTATCCATAGAGTTATTTGTAGTAGAGATGGCGTCACACCGGATGTGAAAGGGCTCTCGAAGCATTCAAGGGATATGAGAGGGAAACGATCAGATATGACTCGTGTTGACAGCTCTTCTCTCTCTTTATGAACCTCACCATTTGTTCTTTTTCTTCTTCTTCTTCTTCTCATAGCTACTTCACTCGAAATACATAGAAACTTTGAGTCAAATGAAAGGCAATGGAAAAGACATCAAAGTATCGACGACGGAATCGACTTTGAGCTCACTCCTTCACATACATACTGAATGAGGCCCTTCTTTTCACTTCACACCGCACCACCTTCTCTTTGCAAAACGTTACCAAACAAATTTTTTTAATAGTTTTAAGATTGGCAAAAGGGCAGGCACTTGCAAGGGTCAGAAATGAATTTTAAAAGGAAAATTTCTCGAATGTCGAATGTCAATACGTGGGTGTAAAGGTCTCCAGGGAGTGATTCGTCTTTTTTTGAGAAGACTCGTTGAAATCCTCACCACAGATCTTGGTCTTTTCTTCCTTAACACCTTTCCTTTTTTTAAAAGGAATACACTGTCTAGTACAAATAGAAAATCTATATTCCAGAAAGAAAAAAAAGCGTTCGAGCCTTTAGGCGAGGTTGGCACAGAGAAACAAATTCATCACTCTTCTTCCCGATTGCAGGATTTAAAGGAAAACCCAGTCCCTTTGGGCATTTTTCCAGGTTTTAGGGTGAGAAAAAAAAGAGAGTTTGAAGAGGTCGTGGACTTCTCAACTCTCGCCATCGCCATTCGCCTTCATCCCCACATCTCTCTCCTTTTTTACTGCTTAACTCTCTCCATGCCTCATCTCATTCTCATCTCCTTCTTCTTCTTCTTCTTTTTCAATTCACCCCCCTCAAGATTCCTTTTTGAGCCCCCCTTTTTTCCCCTTCAATATGAGGTCACCCTGCTTTCTTACTCTGAAAGTTTTACTTGCAAATAGTACTTTTATCAAATTAAATAGAGTCAAGTTTGTGGAAAGATTACAAAGAAAAGATCAAAGAAAAAAGGGATTCATTTTTTTAGATGATCGGTTTGGAAGGAATCCCAGTCTACACGTATTTCTTTCTCAACGACAACAAGTGGTATTGGGGCCCGTTTTTATGTGACCTATGGTGCGCAAAAGATATACGTCTTTTTTATTGAATAGTTTCTGTTTAGGCTAGTTATTGATTACACGGTTTGCCTTGCCTCAATATATACAGTACTAGGAATTACGGTAGACAGGTAAACAAAAATTGTTTTTTTTTGTTTTTGCAAAATAAACATCGAATGGCAGATATTGCTCAGTAAAGATGCCAGCAACTTACCGAAATTGGAGAACATCAAAACGAGTGATACTCATCATTATCGCTGTTTGGGTGGTGAGTTTCTTTATAAATCAAACATTTCTAAAGTAAAATCTTACTTGTTAACTATATTTTTCTTCAGGTCCCTTGTACTTTGTTCACTGTTTCGATTTTTGGATATGAAACAATCACCGGAAAAGTTCGAATAGGCGACGATAAATGTGAAGTGCCTGTTGGGTGTTCAAATTATTTTCCCATTATATAGATTAAATTTTAGTTTATGACTGATCCATATTTAAATATGGGTATGTACATTTCTTACTATTGGAGCACTCTTTTTGTGATGCTCTATCTTTATTGGGGGATTTATCGAGCTGCGAAAAATTAGCCGATAAGAGTGATCAGGTGGGAAATCGTGAAGCTTGAATCAAATCTTTTTTATAATATTTTAGAAAACAAAAAGATTGGCTTTACTGTCACAAATGCGTCGACCACAAAGACCGGAAACGCTTTCATTGAGAACAAGTGATGCGGGAAGGACAAGCTCGGACAGTCCACAAGACACATCTGATAGTCAACGATCAAATATCAATAATAGGTAGCTTTTAAGTAAACCAATAATAACCATCACTTTATATCAATAATAGATATAAAGTGTACATTTCATTTGTACCCATTCTATTTTACATTATTGATTGAGTCATTTTCTATCACTTCTCCGATCAAAGCATTGTAATGATGAATGGATACGAAAAAGATTTACTGTGAGCATCGATCAACAAGGGGAATTCGTTTCTTGAACGGGTTTTTTCCTGATCCCAAGGGTATGACCATCAGCACCCGGCTTGTGATTTGTCAAGGGGCGACTTTTAGGGAGTTTTGAATCCTCTTGAAAATGAGATGCCCGGGATGCGGAGACTCCCCCCTCTCCTCTTGAGACATCACCCCTCCCCTTTTCCCTCTCTAACCTCAACCCTTAACTTCATTTCTGACGTCTCTTTTCCATCCTTAGCAAATCTCTCAACTCTGCCGGCAAAACAGCGGCTCAAATCTCAAATTTGATTATTTATCGAGATAAACGAGGACTTTTTGTGTGGAATGACTTTTTTGGTTAGATGACTGATGTTATATTGAATACTAGAACAAACTGAGATTTGTTTGTTTTCAAAAGGAAAGTTATTTCAAGACAACAAAAAGAAAAAAAAGGGTTGAGGGCTAAAATTGTGGTCCCAGGGTGTGGTTCTTTCGGAATTTTTGGCCCAAAATTCAATCATCGCCCGACGTGAAGGCAAGAAACTTTTCTTGACCCAATCCCCCCCCCCTTTCCTTTCTGAATATTGCACTTGTTGCTCAACTTTTGGGGATTGTCTCCTAAACATAGGTGTATAAGATCTTTTAAATAAAACTTATAGCTTATTTTTCACAGCCATTAAAGATCACATGTATGTAAACAATGAGGAAATGTTTAGAAGGCCATCAAGACCATCAACGAGACCGACTTTATCAAATTCGAATGAAAAGAAATCATCGGCTCCAGCAAGACTCAATCTACAAAAAGTCGTAGCAATAAATAAGGTTTTTTTAGAGTTTGAAAATCTCTAACACAAAGAGTTCAGATCTCTGTGGCAACACCAAATCATTTGACCAATCATTGCAACAATTTGCAACAAACAAAAAAGTGCGCCTGCTGAATACACAAATCCTGGATACAGGTAAGACTTTTTGGTTTTAAAAAAATGAAAAGCAATAAATTGTCAAACTTTAGCTCTGATCGACCCGAGCGGGTAACGAGAGAAAAAGAAAAAAGAGAAAAGAGTACACCGACATATAGAAGTGTGTACAGACAAGAACTATCTTCAGTTATCGGTAAATGCTTTGATTTCGATCTTTTGAAAGTACAAGAAAACTTAAATTTAGAAAGAGAAAGCACAGCACCTTGTGTGAGTCCAGAGACTTCAGATCCCGACGTTGAGCCATTACCAACACTTGAATTTAAACCGGATATAAGAGTAAAAAAAAGATACAGCAACAAAGAATACAAATGATTCCATTTTAGTTTCCATTCATCGATGCAGACAGCCTTTCGTCGTTAGTTGGAACTGATGATTTGAGAAGAAATGGAAGTGTTTTCCGAAAAGAAACAGTCATTTTGGAAAAGCAAGAAGATGAGGAGAAATCGGTAGAAATGAAATTAAGCATGAATAATGGAAAGTTCATTATGAAGTGAGCTTTTTAGAGGTTCATACAAAGCTCTTCAATCAACAAGAGACTTGTTTTCAAAAGCAACTTTCAACTTTTTTATGTGGAGACTAATTTGCATGATGTTCTAATGAAAAAAAGCCTAAAACAAAACTTTTCTCAGCATGTTAAATGGGTAGAAACTCTTGACAAAACCTTATCGATATCATTTAGACAAAATATGGTGTCTACTTTGTTTAGGAAAGCAAAGATGATGAGCGTGACAGTGGAAATGGAGAAAGTACAGAAAGAGAAGGAAATGAACTCATTGAAAGACAACCATCAAGAACTGTTACGGTATGATTTAAACACTTTAGAATACCGTTTTTAACCTTTATGATTGTTTTCTATAATTGTTTCGTGTGCTGTGCCGCTTTGATCTAAAAGTGGCTGTCGAAAATATCTTTCGCTTTTGTCTGTCAGTAGTTTTAGTGTCAGTTGTCGGTGTTAGTTGTCAGTATTTTTTTTGTCAGTAATTTTTCGTTACTGTCATTGTCTCCAGTTCTCAAAAAAAATTACGAATAGATGATGGTCTTTTCAATTCATTTTTTTTTGATTTGTTAGTGAGTTTTGTGGTTATTTCAGTCAAGAGGCTCAAATTCGATGGCTCTTCATGGTACTCTCTCCACTACAGAAACTCCTCGCATTGACATTGATGATCAGGTATCACCAAAAAGCATTCTTTTTTTATTATTCTAATTTTTATTTTACACTTCTAATTGTAAGCTTCTTTCACTATCTTTGCTTTAAAACGATGAACTTCTAATGCAAACGCTTGCGTTTTGTGTTTTATTTTTCTTTTCTCTCTTGCGCTTACTCATTTCCAAACTATCATGCTGTGATCAAAAAAAGGAGTAGACAATGAATGATGAACTGAAAATAAAAGATGGGATTAACGTTAAGTTAAATTTGAATGATATTTTTGAAATTAAAAATCAGCCTCAATCTATTTCAATAATAGTAACAAAAAAATAAAAATCTAGGTGATTGTGCCTTTGATTGCTGTTTCACGGGTCGAAAGTGTGAAATCGACAGGAAGTCGCATGAGACGTCTTCTATCTGCAGTTCGTTCACGTTCTGTACGCAAAAAGAAGGTAATAATAGAAAAAAAAGATTACAAAGAACAAAATGAATCTTTAGGGTCATCATTATAAATCGAAAAGTGAAAATCGAGCTCGAAAAGCCCTTCGCACTATCACAGTCATTTTGGGTGCTTTCACTTTACTCTGGACTCCATTCTTTTTGTTAGCTACGGTAAGTCGAAAATTCCTTGAAATTGAACTAAAAAATTTGAAATTACATTTTTGATGATGTATGCATAGTGATCGGGAAAGAGAAGAGAATAAAGATGGAGAAAAGGAATGGGAAAGGAATGGAAAGATCGAGAAAACAGAAGGGAAAGAGGGGTGCGGTAGTCGTTATGGGTGGTTCTGGGAGGTCTCTCACTCGCTTCTGGGTGGCCTTCATCGAGAAAGCAACAGTGTAAGGGTTCAAATCCTTTTTTCTCTTTTCTTTCATCTTTTTTTCTTTCTTATGTGCCCACGCAATTCTAAGTACCTCAATCAAACAAGACCGCCTCTGCACTTCTAGTTAGAATCTCTTGCTTTTCCCTTCTAGATCTTCTAGTTCCATAATAGCTAATTATAAGTTCAAGAGATACAACCTAAGAAGATTTGGTTATAAAGTAGGGCTTGAGAAAAAAAACTACTATTGTTATCAACAAATAAAAAAAAGTTTAGATCAGCGGTTTTTGTCAAACGTGTGGGGACTATCCGACATTCAACTTGTTCTACTCGATCTCCTACTATTTATGTTATATGAACTCACCGATCAATCCTTTTTGTTATGCGATGGCCAATCAGCAATTTAAAAGAACACTAACGCGTATCTTTAAAGGAGATTTTCATCGAGCCTAATATGTTTCGACTTTTTTTTTAAAGATGTACCTCAACGAAATCCACTCATTCACTAATAATAAGAGCATTAGCTTCGTCTGAGGTTTTTAATTATATTGAAAACATTGAATTGAACGGCTTTGGTTAAATGTTGAAAAGTAATCAATTGTAAGATAAAGGTTGAAGCTCGAAAAAAAACCATTCTGACAATGAGAGATAACTTTCGGGTGAACCCAATGTTCTTCGACTTTCCATAGAGTGAGTGATTTCTTTTTTGCCTGTTTTATCCTTTTGGTTATCGTCCATTGCTCATTTTTTTAATAGGAAGTATAGGAGTGGGACAAATGCTACCTTTTTTTGCGCACCCGGACATTTGCGCACCTTTTTTCGCGTTTTAAAAAGCTTTAAAAAGCTAATATTAACTAATTTCTACTCCAAAAGTTGTTTTTCTAGGTAATTTGAGTTTGTCGAATTCAAATTTTGACATAACAGAGCGTGTGGAACCAATTTGAAAGACAAAACGGCTAGATCAAATTACAGAAAATTGTCGATTTTTCTCTTTGTATAACTCCGTCCGTTTGTTTCCACAAGCTCTGATATGTCAAAATTTCGATTCTACGCCCTAAAATTACCTAGAAAAACAACTTTTGGAATAGAAATTGGTTAATATTAGCTTTTTAGAGCCTTTTTAAAACGCGAAAAAGGTGCGCTAATGGGCAAGGTGCGGAAAAAAAGGTGCGCAAATGTCCGGGTGCGCAAAAAAAAGGTCGCATTTGTCCCACTCCCGGAAGTATGCAAAATATCCATTATTTATTTAAATTATTAAAATAAGAGATTTAGGAAAAGATTATGAGTCAACTTTTTTCTTCAACGAAGCTTTACCAATTCATTTTTCATAATTCAAAACAAATTACCTAACAAAGCTGAAAGAAATATTGATAAAACAAGAATTTTTTTTTTGTGTGAACCGATGAGATGCTCTAATCACATCGACGGGTTTACCATTCTCTCTTATGTGCTTGTGCTGCCGCTTCGAAGCTTTCATCTGATTGATTTCAATGAATTCTTTTCAAATCATTCAGTTAAAAGTTTTCCCTTGCATTTTTCATTTTCCTTCTTTTGTTCAGGTCATTTTCATCTTTTCGACATTGATTTTATATTGCAATACACCCTTGTGATGTCATTCTTTGAAATTTATGTAATAAACTATTCGAACTATAAGCACAGCTTACAAACGTTTTGTTTGAAACGAGAGATTGTCTGTGAAAACGAGAAAGAAAACGGTGTCTGATTGGCTGAGTTCTTTTTTTCGAATTGACAGAGAGTTTCTTTGAGTCTTTTAGATGGATCAAGGGATATCTCTGGGTAGAGGTAAGCACCCACGCATCTTCTGTGGTCCCATCCGTTTACTCAGCAAACCTCATCCACTCTTCGCTTTCTCCTCTCCGTTTCCCAGAAAATCTTCGGCCATTTTCTTTTTCTGTTTTTTAAAAAGTTTAAATGGCAATTTAACAATTTGAGAATTGTTCAAAGATGTATGAATAAAGCAATCTTTGGGTCAATGTTGATGAATCCTTTTCTCCGTCAATCGTCCCCTTACAATTAAGAAAAAGTTACCATAACCCGGTAGTCAATGGTTCTAAGAATAGTCACTGATTCCATTTCTTTATTGAGCTTCTTACAACAATTTCTTATTCAAGAAATTAATAGAAAAAATCCAAAAAAATAGCCAAACAGTTGAACTCTCGTGAAGTTACCATTCATCGATCGCTTAGTTTGAATTTAAAAGAATTTGTTTCTAAAAGAAGAATTACACTTGCTATCAATGTTCTTGATCTTACTGTTTATTTGTTAAAGTGTTTGAGTAACATTAGAAATTGATCAACACATCAATTAGTAAAATTCCTTATTTCTATTCCTTCTTTGATACGTTAACAACTGATGTGAGGATCTTCATAAAGTTATTCCTCATTTTAATTGCATAGAAACTCGCTTAGTTACCACGAACAAAATTCAAATAATCTATAGAATTGATTAAGATTCAAATAAAACCAAGATTTTGCTTACATTTCAGCTCCTTTGTATTTTTCGTTCTTTTTCAAATGAAAAGAAAATCAACAGGTTGCAAAAAAAGATGAGAAAAAGCATGAAGCGCGCAAAGTTGCCGTCGTTGTTACAGCATCTCAAGTGGTCAAACAAAAGATGGACTGTATGAAAAAAGAAGAGATTGAAGAGGATGGGATAAAAGAAAAAAAGAGAAGACGATAGGGAAGGGGGAAAGGAAGGGGGTGGGTAAAACTAAAGGGGATGGATGGGTCCCACCCCTTCAGCTTTACCTTCCATCCATTCATTCATCCATTTCTTCTTTCATTTGAATCACTTGCTTCCGTTAACTCAACTTCTGTCCATCTTCTCGTGCCTTCATCTGGTTGTATAAGTACAGCTTATACTTGTCGATCTTCACCTCTTATCAATTGATGACTTTCATTGACTACACTTTTGTATTTTCAGATCACTTTGCTTCAAAAAGAATATGTATCATCACACTTTTATTTGCCATTAACTATAAAAACTTTTCTTTAATAATCCTTTTTAGATGATTTAGGTTTCGTTATTTTTAATAAATAAAACTACATAAGCGATTGTTTCACAATGAAGTAAATACAAGTTGAAAGCTTTTGCATTAAAACTGTTAACTCTCATTTAAGGACATGAATTTCCGATTTTGGAAGTAAATAAGTGTATAAAGACTTTTGTCATTCGCATTTACCACTAGATTAGTAGCGTAAAGCTCTTACAAAGGTTTCCATACTCGATCGAACCATTACTTTTCCCTCAATGAATCGACTTTTTGCTTTGTAGTATAGGGATTGAGTGGTTGAGAAGGGACGCGAAATCTTTCGGATTGAAGGGATTTCTTGCCTTGGCATCGCCGTTGTCTCTATTTACTTTCAGCCATCTCGAGATTTCTTCTCCCCCCTCACCTCCTTGGTCCCGTCCCCCTTTTCCTTCTTATCCAGATACTTCATTTCGTTGCTTCTCTTTCTTACATTCATCGTTTACCATTTACCATCTACTCCCTTTGAGTTGCTTATATATAACTTTATAGCTTTTTATAGCTTTTTTGGTCAATCGTTTCTTGTCGAGCACACTCTTTTCTAAATATTCATTCATTTAGGCAGTGTCCCCTAGGGTTTTAGGCGAGTACCTGTAGAAATGCCAGCCGTCAAGCCAGGTAAAACGATAAAGTAGTGCATGGGTGAAAATGAGTTTAGATGAACTAAAAGAGATCTTCAATTTGTATGATGAGGAACTTGATGGAAAGATTGATGGCACTCAGATCGGTGATGTTGTTCGTGCTGCAGGACTAAAGCCAACAAACACTATGGTGGCCAAGGTGGAGTGAAACTTTGAAAAAAATATAAGAAATTGGTTAAAGGCCTCAGGCAAGGAGTACAAGAAGAAAGGTGAGAAGAGACTCACTTTCGAGGAATTCCTTCCAATCTATGAGCAACTCGCCAAGGAGAAGGTTTGCTATCTCATAGCTAGAATTTATCAATAATTGATAAACGGGGATTTGTGATGCCGAAAGACGGGATTCACGTTGTGTGTGCTAGATAAATAATAGCTGAATGAGGAGATTTAGCACCGAGCACACGTTAGCTCCCGCACCTTCCTCACAGAATCTTTTCTTCCCTCTCTCTTTTCTCATAGTTTCTGTTTTTTTGACTTGGGTAGACAACTTCCTATTTTCGAGAACCCCACTTGAGAATACTTCTTGATCCCACTGCATCACTCTTCTGTCTTAGGAATTGCAACGAAACAAATTAACAAGTTTAGGAGCAAGGAACTTTTGCTGATTTTCTTGAGGGACTCAAGGTATTCGACAAGGAAGAATGCGGAAAGGTTTTTAAAAACTAGCGATAAATCCAAGAAAATCTTTAGATCATGGCGGCTGAATTAAGACACGTTCTTCTCGGAATCGGTGAGAGACTCAGCAAGGTGAAAATTAAAAGATGAAAGAAGTTGGACACAAATTTTCAGGATCAAGTTGACGAGATCATGAAGGGAACTGAAGATGGTGAGGGAATGGTTAACTATGAAGGTATGCATTTCTCAATCATACCAATTTTAAAGAAACTTTATAGCTTTTATCCGAAAAGTGCTTGCTGGCCCGTTCCCTGATCGCGAATGAGCTCACTCATAATCAAATCACAATATCTTTTTTGTATTCGAAGTTTCCTCGTTTTTCTTTTTACATATGTATGATGACCTTGATGCTCCAATCTCCAAATGGTGCGACGGTGATAAGTGTTAAGGCTCATAAATAAAATACGATCTGTTTCATAGAACTTCATTGATAGTTTTGCTTTAAAGGTGCCAATTTGAAATTGTAAAAGCGTAAGCTTTTGTTTCTTCCTTAACAAAATTTAATGACCGACACAGCGTTTATTTTCTTCTGTTAAAATTATAATAAAGAAGTTTTATGAAAGTCATTTATGAAAAAAAAACGCATGTTCATAAAGATAGTCACTTTGAATCTAGGTAGGTATGCTTAAAAGACAAGCAGGGCGAAGAAAATGTACGGAATTGCTCTCAACGCCACGCAACGCAAAAGAGGAAGCTCGTAGCCCGAGAAAATGCAGAACTGTCGCGGGTTGGTAACACAGAAAATAGTCGATTACCGTAAACTGAAATTTATGAGAAAAGGTACCACGGTTTTCTCTCGAATAGTATTGTGGGCACGGAGGAGATTGAAAAATCTTATGGCGCCGAAATACGGTATCCGTTGTATAGCTTATTGTTAGCATAGTTTTTCCCAAAATTTTGTCATACAAAAATGTTGCCTAATTGAACATTTTTCATTGTAAAGTGAAATTTTTCTTGTAATTCGGATTCCCATATTGAAACAGTGAAACCAGATTGTTTGGAATCAGCGTATCAGCGAATTAGGGAGTCTAAATTTCTGGAAAACATTCGGAAAATTGCTGAGCGGGGTTTCAAAAAAAAAACCATAA